TACAGGCAGGCAAGATGGCTCCTCACACTCAGTCTCCCCAGCTAAGTCTTCCCAGCCCCTTCCCCTCACCACATCCACCCAACCCAACTCAGCCTTTACAGTGTTAAGGTTATTTCCTCTGTGGCTATCAATTACCTCCTAAAACTAGCTCACATCCAATCAATCAACCAATAAACCTTAGGTGCCCACATTATGGTCAAGATGCTATGGCAGATGCTGATCCTATTAACTGAGGACAGAAACCTACAGTAGATAGTGTGGCCTGTCACTTAGGGAAACAAGTGTTCTAACCCTGCCTAATCAAATTAGGGTAATTACCACTAGCTGCCGTAACAGATAAGCTCCAAAATCTCAATGGCTTAGCATGATGGTCTAATGCACAGAGACATCAAGACAGAGCTACAGAAGCCAGTGCAGTCATTCAGGGACTAAGGATCATTATGTATGCCCCCAAGAGGTGGACTCTAAGGCCACCACATACAGGTAAAGAGAGGAAGCAATGAGGACCCCACATGAGTTTATGTGGGTCAGGCCTGACAGTGGCAGGATAGAGGTGGTATTAAAAAATCCAAAATATGGTACAAAGGTCACTGACAACAAAGCCTCAGGCAACTCCATCATTCAGGGACTAAGGATCATTATGTATGCCCCCAAGAGGTGGACTCTAAGGCCACCACATACAGGTAAAGAGAGGAAGCAATGAGGACCCCACATGAGTTTATGTGGGTCAGGCCTGACAGTGGCAGGATAGAGGTGGTATTAAAAAATCCAAAATATGGTACAAAGGTCACTGACAACAAAGCCTCAGGCAACTCAGAGCAGGAAGAGCTCAGACCATGTGGCCTGGCACAAGTTCCCCATCCCCCAGCTCATGACCTTGAGCCAAGCTTTAAAGAAGGAATGTAGAAAGGGGCAGAGAGAGCAAACCAGGATACCTAGCACTTCTCAAAGACTGGGACTGAAATGTGGAGGCTACAATCTGAAGGCAATTGAGAGGCATTGCAGCAAGTGGATCAGCCTGGCTCAAGGAGGCAGAGGACCCTGAGCAGGGATGGGAACGTGGGAGATGAGGACTGGAGCAGGCTGTGGCAGGCCCTGGCTGTCAGCCTCCACACCTGACCATGACCCCTCAGGAAACAGAGTGCCCCTGGAAGGTGTGGGACCTTTACAGGTGGTGCTTTCCACTCGGATAGCTGGAACTCCGCATGCTCAGTGGAAGAGAGGGGTGAGAGACCAGAGCCAAGGCACTGGGTTAGTGGGTACTGCTGTAAAGGCCAACGTCAACAATGGGGCCTCACAGAAAGCATGGGAGAGCAGATACAAGAAAGAATCTGGAGGGAAAACGCTAATTCATCTCTGTGTGCTCTTTCCTCCACACCAGCATCTCCACTGTCACTTTAAAATGGCCTCTTCAGCCTGGATTAAGAAAAACATAAACATTAACAACTACAACCTGTAACTGTCTTTCAAAAGGCAGGATTCGAAACCTTGGTACCAAGCATCTTGGCAGAGAGATAAATCCTGAGGATGTCTGGGTCATCTAGGTGCCCCAGCCCAGGGGGGGCCCTGTCAGAACCCCAAGGAAACCTGTCTTATGAGTGAGAGAGCACCAGGGATGGCTGGAGCCCTCCAGGAGTCCCTGCTGCTGGGACCTCCTAAGAGTCCACAGAAAAGGTTTGAGAAATATGGCAACCTTTAAAATACCAGCTCACTTTGTACCCAAGGGGCTGCATCCAAGTGCCCTTGTTCCTACTGTATGCCCCGTGCCTGGCTCTCCCAGGCCCCCCATAATCCTGAGGAATAAAGAATGCCAAAGTCAAGGTTTCCCTCTCCTCCTTCAGTAGGAAGGGGTGGAACGGGCTACAAAGCAAATGGACACAGCAATACAGGCCCCATCACCCAGGCACCGGGAAACCTCTCCTTCCTTCACCAGCCTCCCACTGCATCAGGTGGCCCCTGCAGGCCTAGCACATCAGCAGGGGGGACACCAGTACCCAAAACAAGCACAGGCAGAGGAGGGAGTGCTGAAGGGTGGGGTGGAGAGGGATGGGTTCCTTCCATATCACAACTTTTCCCTGCTCTCCTCCTCCAGGCTTCATGTCACTACAAATTACACTCTGCAGCCAGGAGGATAACATCTACCTAGTTGCAGCTTGAATTCTTGGCTTGCCCAGGACAAGATCTCAACCCTCCTCTCCTGCCAGCTCTTCCTCGGAGACTGCAAGTCAAGAAAACTCAGCCTTCCCACCCCTGGCACCTGACCCAACCAGTCCCAAGCCCAGGACACCCCCACTCTCCCCCATGGAGTTGCTTGCATGGCAGAAGCCAGACCCTCAGCCCATCTGAAGCAAGCTCTTGTCTTCTCAGAAGTCCCCACCCCCACTGGGTGTTGGCACGCAAATGGTTTTCCCTCTCTGCTTTGCTTGGTGTGGGCAGCAGAGTAGAGGGCAGAGGACCAGGGGCCAGGCCACAAGCTTGTCAGAGATGCAAAGTCTCAGTCCCTCACCCCAGACCTACTGAATCAGTCTGATGGTGGGGCCCAGAAATGTGTCTTAACGGGCCCTCTGTGTGCTCTCTGAGACACACCAAAGATTGAGACTCACTGGTGCAACAGCTAAGAACCTCAATTCCGGAACCAGAGTATCTGAGTTCAAGCCCCAGCTCTACAAGCCCCTGACTTGGGTGACTGACTGTAAGCAAGCTATCTGGAGCGGGGTGAGAGCTCCTATCTCCTGGGGTTGCTGTAAAGACTAAATGAGCCCTGTGAGTCTGTAGCACTTAGTCAATACCATTTGAAATTTTATTCTTCCTATTTGGGATATTTAGGGATGCATGACTATATCACATTCAGTTTCCTAATTAAAACCAATACTGAAACGACTGGTGTCCCTGAGTGCAGCTGGACAGTGAGGAAGCTCGGGCTATGTTGCACTCTCTCTTTTGGGTCCTATGGGTACACCTATGGCAGGTATCTGTGTAGAATAATAAGGCCCGCCCCATAAGCTTCTCATTCCTCCAGAAATGAGCTGTGGGTTTGTTTCTGTGCCTTGATTTTTTGACACTCAGGAGACGAGCTCCTGCATGACCACACAGCAGGCCATATGGACAGCCAGGCCACAATGTCTGTGAGGGGTTGGGAGGATTGCAGCTTCCCATTACACAGGTAAGTTCAAGGACCCTGGGTACTTGTTGAATGATACGGCGAAGACCATTCTTTCAGAGATCTGCCCACATCCCACCTGGAAGAACCCAGAAAGGATCTTTGGAAAGCAGGAAGAGAACAGTCTGATGTCATTCTTCTCCCTGCCACCAGCCTGGTCTCTCACTCTAATTGCAGGGAAGACAATGGAATCAGTTCTTCCTAACGTAGAATCTTCTTGTCATCAAACTTAAAACTCCTTATAATTAGGAAGAGACGGTAGATAGAAGTTGTCAAGAACATAGGCTCTGTGGTCAACCAGACAAGGGGTTCTGATTCCAGACCCTACCCCTGACTAGCTACAGGACACCAGGCAACTTAGTTAAACTCTCCAAGCCTTCTTTTCTCATGTCTGATATGGGGATGGAATCCAATGCACTTATGACATCTCTGCACAGCAAGAATTCCACCAATTATTGTAATCATTATCTTTATGATTATCTCAAATTCTGGAACTACCATGAGAACATGTGTTAGAAACTCAGAAAGGGAGGTGGGAGCCTTAGATCTGCCTTAGATAGCAGCTATGCAAGCCCTGGAGAGCTGCCTGTACTTGAATAGAGAATTCTCAATCTGACCTGGGGAATAACAAGTGTACAATGACTTATCAGTCCCTGGACCAGATGGGACCAAAGCACACTGAATCTCTCTCTTCTCCTAAAGCACTGAAGAGAACATTTTAGATGGGACAGATACAGTAAGTCATCACTTCAAGTATTGGATAGATCCTATGACTTTAAGAAGACTGGCATAACGAAACCAATTTTACCACAAGCTAATTGATATGAGCAAGAGCTAAGTTTCTTCAGCATCTCATCAACGTTTTAGGAAATGAGGTTGAACGAATCCAAGTTATTGGAGGACCTGCTGTAATTGGATGGCACACCTCGCTTTACACTATAAAAACCTGTTTCCTCAACCCACGAAGAACTTCAACATCGCCCTCAGGCATTTCTCTGGGAGAAGCCAGGTGTGTTTTTAATAGCAGCCTCCCCCCCACCCCACCCCCCCGCCCCGGG